GATAAGAAAGAAGAAGATCAAAGGGCAGTTTCAAGCTCTACAAGCTTGTTGTTGTTGTTTCTTATCCCCTTGTGTAAAGATTACACAAATTCCATGAGTTCATGCTCCTCGAGCTGTTTTATGATGAGCAGCGGCCTCACCCAAAGGTCCTGTTTAGTGCATCTAAGCTTGATATGATTGAGTGGAGATAAGAAAGAAGAAGATCAAAGGGCAGTTTCAAGCTCTACAAGCTAGATATGATTGAGTGGAGATAAGAAAGAAGAAGATCAAAGGGCAGTTTCAAGCTCTACAAGCTAGATATGATTGAGTGGAGATAAGAAAGAAGAAGATCAAAGGGCAGTTTCAAGCTCTACAAGCTTGATCTGATTGAGTGGAGATAAGAAAGAAGAGGATCAAAGGGCAGTTTCAAGCTTGATATGATTGAGTGGAGATAAGAAAGAAGAGGATCAAAGGGCAGTTTCAAGCTCTACAAGCTTGATCTGATTGAGTGGAGATAAGAAAGAAGAGGCAGTAGCAGTACTAAAACTGTACAAAACCTAATGCTCTCCTCCCATTACCTTATTCTAAACTCCTGTTTACCTGGCTGTGACTTTCAACATTGGCCTGTGCTCTTTTTCAAATATCAAATATTTTCAAATAATTTTGTTAAGTGTATAGGAACATTTTTCACAAATTGATTTCAAAACTAGGAATAAAAGTTTAATGAAAATTGACAATTATACTGCAAATGTTTCTTTTGAACGAAAAATCAAAATTTATTTTAAGGAGAAATAATGATTATTTCTAACCTTAGGGATGAAGTATGAAAGGATGAATTGTGAAGAGTAATGATAAATGGAAAAATAGAGTGTCCAGGAATAGGAATCGAGCCCACGGTGTTCCGCTTACCGGACAGATGCCATGTCTACTAGGCTACCCTGGAAACGTAAAAATATGTCCAGGGTAGCCTAGTGGACATGGCATCAGCCCGGTAAGCGGAACACTGTGGGTTCGATTCCCATCCCTGGCCACTTTATTTTTCGTTTATCATTACTCTTCATAATTCATCCCTAAGGTTAGAAAGAATTGTTATTTCTCCTTAAAATAAATTTCGATTTTTCGTTCAAAAGAAATATTTGCAGTATAATTGGCAATTTTCATTCTACAATCATAAGCCGCATTATATTGTATAATAAAAGTTTATTTGATCAGGTGGGGTTTCAAGGATAAGCTCAAATTTTCCACATAGTGGTAGCAAGCGAACTCGTATTCCTTTATAAATAAAGAAGAAAAAAAAAAAGAAACTCACAGAGTGGTTGATTCCTGGTCCATCTGTACTCTTATCTGTGTTGCCAGATAATGTCTGGCAAGTTTTTCTTTGGGTTGTCCGGACTCTGGACCACACACACATTTTAACAACCTTTGCTGCAAACTATCTCTTGATTGTGCCATGGTTAAAAGGTGCACCACATTCACCTCTAACCTCAAAATGTGAATTACCATAAATGATATATAAGGTACAATTTGGATTATAAAAATTAGAATTAAAAGGTAACAAGACCAAATCTCTGAATTATTGAAATGCTTGTAATGTTTTGGCAATAAAAACAATTGTTACCATCATCAGACAAATGCATTTTTAGTATTTTGCACAAATATTTCATAATTTGGATTTGGTTTTGTTACCTTTTGAATTACTAAGACTTATGGTTGGAGCATCTAATCATAGATATATAATGAACATTGTCTTTAATCACACACAAGCAACTTTTAAAACTAAAATAAAGAACCTACTGCAATGATAAAAATATTGAGAAGGCCTGGCTCTTAAGTGGTGAACCCTCACAGTGTGTTGCCATCTCCCAGAAAATTGTTTTTGAATTTGTAGACGAATTCCTCTAAAGGGTCACTTGAACCTTCACTACCACCAAATAAAAAAAAAAAAAAAAATGTGAAACTGATCAAGAAGAATGAAAAGGCACAATTTGGATTATAGATTATAAACACAAGGTAATAAGACCAAATACAAATAAATAAATAGTGTGTTACATTTCGGTAACAGCGTTGTCACTGAAACGTCACACACTATTTATTTATTTGGATTTGTTCTTATTACCTTGTGATCAAGAAGAAGTTAATTTGGTAGAGTAGCTAAGTCAATTTAATGTCTAAAATACAGATGGGAATTTGGATGGTAGGGCAAATGGGTTTGTATTAAAAAGTGAAGACATCTTTCTGGCCAAAATTGGCACAAAAACTGTCTTACTTGTTGATTTCTCTGCAATCTAGCATATTCAGGTTAGTGGTATTTAGAAAGGCTTCTAGAATTTACCAAAGCTGGGGGGGTCGGTGAAGGCTGGTTAAACCTTTTGGTTTCGACCACTACGACCCGGGTTTGATTCCCGCATTGGACACTTTTTATGTTTAAAAAAAAAAAAGCTCCAATGGCCCCCCGAGCGAGTGCAAGTAACCAAACGGGGCTCTGGCACATTTGTAAGTGCAAAGTCGAACTGCTTTCACATGTGTAGACATGTGGTGCGCTTACAGTAAAAAGCAGTCGCTAACTACCCACCATGATTATCATGGCCTGTACCACGTGTACTAGGGATAAGCAAAAAAAAAAAACCAAAGCTGGTGCATAGTCTTATAGACTATGTAAAGACAGCTCATAGTTCTTGTGTATATTTTGATAGGAAGCTATCTTTCCTTTTTTAAGGTTGATTTCCTCCCCTGGCATGATTTCCAAGTATAGTGAACCTTGTTATAACAGCAATTCAATTATAACATCAAAAATTGATAAGGCACAATTTGGATTATAGATTATAAACACAAGGTAATAAGACCAAATCCAAATAAATAAATAGTGTGTGACGCTTCGGTAACAGCGTTGTTACCATCTTCAGAAAAAGTACTGAATGAGAATTTTACCACAGCATGTTTTAGAATTTTAGAAATCTAAGAATAATATTCTGTGTTTCTCAGAAAACTATCTTCTATCTTCATCTTATCTACTATCTTGTTTACACATTGATAACAGTAACTATTTAAAACATGCTGTGGTAAAATTTCTCATTCAGTACTTTTGTCTGAAGATGGTACCAACACTGTTACCGAAACGTCACACACTATTTATTTATTTGGATTTGGTCTTATTACCTTGTGTTTAACATCAAAAATTGAAAAATCCTAATTTTTTAAAACATGGTTACAATCCTAGGTTCAAGTGTAAAGATTAAATGAATTCCATGAGTTTGAGCTGCTTTATGATAAGCAGTGGCCTCTCCCAAAGGTCCTGTTTATTGCAACTGAAGCAAGCCAAAATGTGTTCTGGAGCTGCATGCAATTTATAACATGAGGTTTTACTGTAGAGTGAAACTTGTTACACTTTGTTCTGGGGTATTAGCCAAAAAGCCACAATATGTATATAGGAAATTGATAAGGCACAATTTGGATTATAGATTATAAACAGATGGTAATAAGACCAAATAAATATATAGAGTGTGTAGTGTTTCGGTAACAGCATTTATACCATTTTCAGACAAAAGTACTGACCAGGTATATAAGTCAGCTTATAAGAGACAGAGTTTTATATTGTGTAATTTTCTAGTAGTATATATATATTTATATATTAAAAAACGAAAGAAAAAAATAAAAGATAAAAAGATCAGGTGTTGAAATCAATATTAAAAATGGCATATCCTGACCAGGAGCACATGTGCTTTTGTGGATGGCTTTTCTTGATTTATCAAGAAATTGGGTTGGCCAAATATCAGGGAACAAGCTAAATCAATGTTTAGTTGATTTCTGTTCCACCAGATGGCGCTCTGCCTTCTGTAAAGCACAGGTGCTCCTGGTCAGGATATGCTATTTTTAATATATATATATAATCTCCCCTGCATCCAACAACAACAAGGCAGATCTCTTCCACCAGATAGAGGACCTGAGAGCAGGACTGAAGCTGTGTGCCGGTAGCCATTGAAGTCCAGGTAATCCCGGATCAGTTCATTGATGAGAAAGTTCTCAGTGCTGAGAGGTGGAGGTGGGGACTGGCCATCCTCCAAGGCCTGGAATACCTCCGCCCGTAGCTGGGCTCGGAGTCGGCTCAGGGATCCTTGCTGCTCCAGCCGGGACTTGATGGCTGGAACCATTTGTTAGCTGATAGACTGGAGTGTAGGCTCAGAAAACATTAGCAGAAGGTACTCCGTGTAATGTGAATGCTGTTTCCAAATAGTAAGACAAAAATGTGAACATAAACAACTACTATAGTGGCTTTGTCATCAACCCAAGTCTGCTAGATCGCAAAGATGGGCCAATTGATGGAAGATAGTTTTTTTGTTTGCTTCTATTGGAGAGTTTGCACCAATTTTATAGATCTGGTATTAAATAAATACTTCTATATATACATAAAAATTGAAATTATGCTCCACATTGACGGATAACAAAATACACTAAATTCAAAATGTAAAGTTTACAGGTTAGAATTGTTTATCTGGGCAGGCCTTGGGGCTAATTCCCTTGTTTACAAACATTAAACTTATTCTAACCTAAACCCAACCTAACCTTATCATGGTTTGTAGAATTGGCGCACAAAGGTAAGAAATTATTTTAAAAGATAATTACTATTCAAAACAATGTTACAATTTTGTAGTTTCTGTGTAATGCAAAGTGAAGTGCAGGTAAAATTATTTAGAAAATTCGTTTGGAAAGGTGACTAAAAAGTAAATGATAAAATCTCAAAGAGTTACCATCTCTAACTTCTTTGACGGTTGTCATTTTGTAAACAACAACAAATGATAGAAAAAGAAATGACTTCAAGATTTAAAATTAACAAAATTTAAAATTCTATTATTATATTTTATACAACTTTTAGGATTATATGCAAATTTATTCAACTCAAATATTAAATCCAAATACCTCTAATAATATAGACATTACCTTAAAGTTCACATAGTCGCAAAATTTATAGGTAAACCAAATACGACATCTCAATAATTTTATGAATTTGGAAATCTTATTAACATACTAGTTTTTACATATAAAAACTCCATTTATTATAATCCAAAAATCATTATAATATATTGAAAATATATAAAATAACCTATTTAAAAATAATATTTGACCATATTTTACATTGTTTTTAAAATAATCTAAGCATGTTCATAAATATCATATCTAGGCGGGTGTTATCAATAAACTCTAGAAGCCATTTTTCAAATTTCAAGTGTTTTATCCTTCCGGGAACAAGAATGGTAATAATTATTCCGTATACATCGCGAAAAACGTCATTTAAAGTTAATTCCGATTTAAAGCTTGCAATATTTAGCTTCCCTCTCTCTCAAATTGCATTCATATTTCACACACATACGCAAGAATAAATAAATAACTAAAATAAACAGAGAAAATTGAAACTAGTTTACCACACAAAATTTTACATTGCATATACTTCAAATAACCAGGCCTTAGCATTTAAAATCTGGGAAATAACTAATTCAAACATTTTTCGACAAAACCTCACAGTACAATATCAACAATTTACTCTTCTTCTTTTTTATCTCCACTTAATCATATTAGGGTATCAAGCTTGTAAAGCTTGAGACTTTTGATGGTGTCTGCCCGGGATGAGTAGAGCTCATCAATGGATGAGTCAATACAGTCAAAGATGTGTTTTGGAGTTGCAGGTTGAGAATTGCAATTAGTACATAGTGTCAACAAGTTCCTGATATCCTATTACTAAGCCAACCCCAATTGAAAGCATAACTCACACAGAAAGTATTCTATTCCATGCTACAATTGCAATGCCACCAACATAGGAGAGCCTGGAAGAAACATAGCAACCAGAAAAAAATGAATCTTCTTGATCCTGTATCTGAAAGTAACTGATAGCTTGCACCATCTGTCGGAATAAATATCAACAAATCATTCCCCGTTAATTATTCCAGAAAA